CCCTAAAGAGGTCCTTCGACAGTGAAGACGACGTGCTGTCCTTCACCTCAGCTTCCCCCACCTCTGCCTCCATTTCCCCGTCTTCCTGCCATTTCTTCCTCGGCCACAATAAAGAAAGAGAAGAGCATACAGGAAGTGACCAGCCTCCTTCCTTTTCCTTCAACAACAGCGTGGATTCTGTAGCCCACTCACACGTCTGCCTGAGTTCCAGTCTCAGCCCTGTGCTCAAGACCCGCGCTGTTGGCAGCAGCTTATCTTTCAACCGAGGAACCATGACCAGGCCAGTTTTCCACAACAACGTCTCATCTGTGACGAGAGCCGTTTCCTTCCAAAGCAAGTTAAACCCAAACGTTTGTTCCTCATTGTTAAGCCCAGGAAGCGACAACGACAGTCTTCACAGCTCGACATCTAGTTTGGAGTACTCTAGTGTGGGTGGGTACTCCCTCCCTGCTACCAAGCTAACCTCATACTACAGCCCTCTGCATCAGAGAGAGTACCAAGAAGCCCAATGCCAGCGACCAAGTCAAGTTGAACCAACTATCAAATTCTCCTTCCATGGAGGTGTCTCCAAGTCAGAGATCAACCCAGACCATGATATGGTGCTGGACATCAGAGAAGTGAGGGGTGACTCCTTGTCAATTCCAGCTGAAAAGGAGGCAAAAGTGGAGATGCCCAGAGGTGTTGGTGAAGACAGGATCTCACCTGGAATAATGTATGTTGATGCTAATGACAGCTGGAATGGTCTTCGTATCGTCAATGCCGTTGGGGGGAAAAAAGTTCCACAAAAGGTTTTCAAGACTCCCAAGCCCGGGGCAAAGGAAGTTCCCCGTCTCAACAAGTTTCCCTTGGATTTAGACAGCTTGGTAGGTCGCACCTCCACAAATTCTCCCACCAAGCCTGAAGCGGGATGCTTGACTCAAGAATCTCCAAAGCATCCTTCACACAGTTCGAGTGGCCTCCAGCCCCTCATCCACAGCCCCCCATCCACAGTCAGCATTTCCACTGCCCTCAGCAGGATGGACCGCTCCCCAGACACACCAGACCTCCCCTTTTCTCCTTCGTATCCATGTCCACCAGTTCCCTCACACAGTTCCATCTCCATTCCAGAAATGCATCGTTCCTCTGTACCCATTTCTCCAGCTGAGAACTTTCAGCTAGATCATCTTTCTGGGCCTGAAGGTTTTTATGTGGTCTCCAGCTCGTCCAGCGCCTCTAGTCCCAAACTTATGGAGTCTTTGGAAGAGGGCACATGTGATGCACGAGTCAGCATGGACTTAATCTTACAGAAGATCGCCTCATTCTCTTGGTCAAATGGCACCAAGACACCTGCAGTCAAAACCCCAAACAACATCCAGGGAGCTGATGTATCCTCATCTGTATTTAGGAGTCCCACTGAGAAGACAGCTGTGACTGCATGGAAAGAAAAGAAAAGGCGTGGAGGTAACTAATCTGATTAAAAAGCATCATTAGAAGAATTTTAGTGTGTGTGTGTGTGTGTGTGTGTGTGTGTGTGTGTGTGTGTGATTTGCAGCCGTTTAAGCCAGATCCCTCGTCGGGAGCATAATCATGTAAAAGACGGTTAATGTGAGGGTGATTTGCAAATCTGTGGTCGTCCCATCTGACCGGCTCTGCGACAGCTTCTTGAGCCGTCCCACAACTCAAATCAGCCTCCAACAATCTACAAGCATGCTTGAAAACTTACGACTGCTGTCTGAAACCGACCAATGAAAACACACCTTTGGGACGCTGCAGCAGCAAGACTCCGCCTTTCCGAGCTTCGGCTTCAGTTTATGTTTAAAATCCAGATAATAAACTACATACCGGTTTTTGTTAATAGCCCAAGTTAGACTGGAGTTATATTGAAATAATTAAACAACCTTTTTACATCATCAGTTAAATCGCAGGGTGTGATCTGGGCTTTACAGACACAGAACGGTGTCAGCAAAAACGTTTGAGCTACCCCCGCCAAACTGGTGGACTTGACAGGCAGCACATTTCTGAACCACGTAGGAGAAGAGTGGGCAATCCAGGTCTTCAAGAGCCACTATCCAGCTGGCTTTTGTTGTGTCTGCGCTTAAACACACCTGGTTTGAATCTACTGGTAATTAACAGTCTGCTGCTGAGCCTGATGAGCTGCCGGTTATTCATCTAGGAATCAGGTGTTTTGGAGCAGGAAAACAAGTAAAACAAGCTGGATAGCAGCCCTTGAGGATCAGAAATGCCCACCCTGAACATAGGACAATGGCCTCTTGTGATGCAGATCCGTATCTATTTAGCAATGTGGTTTCGGAGAGACCTCTAAATATTTTGATTGCAACAATAATCTGTTGGAATATTTTGAAACAGAACCCTCAAAGTGATTTTTTGCGGGTTCTGGTATCTGTCCAGATGTGCAACAGAACATCCTGGTTCCTGAAAAGGTTACGGGAAATCAAAAGGCTCCTGCAGTCCAAAAGGGGCTGCTGTAAAGAGCGTTCAAAGGTTATTGTTGTGTTGATGACTGCGGCTGCATTGTTGCTTTAGGAGACCCAGTGGTTGTGTGAATGAATGCTTGATGAGAGCTGCCGGAGCTACCTGATGGTGCTTACACATTAGTAGGGCTGCAGCTATCGAATACTTTTGTAATCGAGTACTCTATCGAATCTTTTATTGATTAATCGAGTACTCTAATGAATTACCCTTTTGTGTTTGTAAACCATTATATCAAATAGCATGTTATAAAATACGAAAGACCTCTTAAATGAGCAAGCAATTGCCAGTTATTCTTCAAGTTTTATTCAAAATTAGTTTTCAAAACTTCAGCACTTCAACTTTACTTCACAGTAAACAAATGCCTGAGCAAAACACAAGTAGACAACCTGAGCCGATTTTCCCCTCGTGCGAGAATCTACCAGCACCAGAACCGCTCACGGCGCATGCGCAAACATGGCTCGCCAGCTGTTTCCCTTTTAACACACGTTCGTTTTAATTTCTACTTTTTTACTCTCACACTAACAAGGATTGTCGAAAGCATGTTTGCTGTGGTTATGTCAAGTTACACTGATCACAAAACATTTATTTACTTTCTTTCGTTTTCCTCTCATAAATACCCGCGTCCTCCTGCAGCAATCCCGAGGGACAACAGACATCAATAACAACACAGTAAAAAGTCTGACGTGTTGTAAAAACTGCTATTTTTAGCACATTTTAGGTCCGACGTGTTGCTACCAGACGTACGGTGCGAGCTGAAACTGAGAGCTACAAACGAAAAAGTCGCACAGTGTCCACAGAATATATAGCAGACCTCCGAGTCCACGTGCAGAAGGGACATTTACATGTGGATGTTTCCTGGTCAGGTTGCAGCATGGAGGATGTGGTGTTGTGGTAGGCTAAATCCATTTTACAGTATTTACACTGGACTACGTTTTCCGCCTCACGACGTGAAAAATGGTCCCACACCTTTGACATTTTCTGTCTTTTTCGATCTCCACCACATTGTCCGCCATGGCTTAAGAGAAAGTTAAGTTACATTCGCGACTCACTTGTGCATTCAGTGCAGTGTTTATGTGCATCACTTATTTTGGTCCGGGTGAAACACGACCCCGGGCGATTGCAAAGCCATGAATTAATTAAATATGAATTAAACGAATCCTCGAGGCAGAGAATTTGACTCGAGGATTTTTTGTACTCAAATTATTCGAGGTACTCGAGGAATCGTTTCAGCCCTACACATTAGTGTCGTTACGGTCCCTTACGGTATCGTACGGGACCGCAATTTAGCTTAACACACGGGTCAGATATGCGTTTTCGGTTCCGAGGTGGCTCTTTTGTTCAGACCTCCTCCCCGGTGGTCAGACTGGGACCGAGGTGACACTACGGGCTGATTGGCCGTCTGAAATTGCACATACTGCCTTCAATTGGAGATTAGAATGAACCAGTGGGGGGGTTCAATCAATCAATCAAAGCTTTTTTTATAAAGCGCCTTCCGCAACCCTGTCGGGAAGCCCAAGGTGCTGAACACGGTACATGAGCGAAACAGGTAAAATCATTAAAGTAGAAAACAAATGGGTAAAACAAGAGATAAAGAGACCGATGAAAGCAGGGAATTTAAATCGACATAAATGAAGGCCTAAACACATTCAGGGAACACCAAACGGAGGAGGTGCATTTTTAGGCGACTCTTAAAGGCTGGCAGAGATGGGGACAGCCTGACTGAGGGTGCCAACTGGTTCCAGAGTGACGGGGCTAGGACTGAGAAAGCCCGGTCCCCACGAGTACGACACCTAGAATGAGGGACAGCGAGCAGGCCTTGGTCAGAGGAGCGCAGAGCGCGTGATGGGGAGTGTCTGTTCATTTCCCGCATGTGCAATTCATTTTCATACTGGATGCTGTTAAGTGAACTTCTCTGTCTGTAGCACGGAGCTGCTGACCAGTGGCAAAGGGGGAAGAGCGTGAGCTGTGTGTGTGTGTGTGTGTGTGTGTGTGTGTGTGTGTGTGTGTGTGTGTGTGTGTGTGTGTGTGTGTGTGTGTGTGTGTGTGTGTGTGTGTGTGTGTGTGTGTGTGTGTCCATGTCCTCTGGAGCAGACAGCTGCTCAGTGGAGAAAGCAGTGTGTGTGTGTGGCCTGCAGAAGCAGAGCGCAAGTTTATGAGAACACACACACACACACACACACACACACACACACACACACACACACACACACACACACACACACACACACACACACACACAGCAAATTGATAAAATATTTCAGTCTCCAAAAGAAGCAACATGCAAAAGAGCTCATGCACGCCGTTGTTTATCTTTTTATGGATGACGCCAAATCATAAGTACATCTGGGCTTAAAAATGCGTAACTCATTCACTGTCAGCCGTTTCCTGGTCGATAAAGTCCTTCGCTGCCAGCGTTTCTCACCGTTTTTACTAAGAGTCACAGAACGTTGCGCGCTAGGATGATGTCGACGCCAAAACAACCAAAACAAAGCGGAGACTCACCTCTTACATCAGGAAGAATCTGCGTGTTTCGAACGTTATCCTTTCTTTCATAATCTGTTGTTGAATTGTGATCGACAGAAGCCTTTCCGGTTCGCGCCTCACTTTTTTTTACAGCAGCGACCCAAAACGATCTCCTAACACATGGATGTTCTGCTTCCTGATCACGTTGATGTGTGACGTATGTGGTTGAAGATCGGCTTCAGAGCTGGGATGTTTGTTCTCACGGTGCGGGGGCTCGTTCACCTAGTAAAAAAATGCAAATGACACCCTGTCTCCACTTCTTTTCACGGCCATAGAACCTTTTGCCATGGCTGTTAGGAAACACAAGGGATTACGGGCATTAAGATAGGCACCCAAGATAATCGGATTGCACTCTATGCGGACGATGTGGTCATATTCTTGAAAAAATTATATAGATCAATTTCTACTCTAGTGAACATAATATGGTCCTTTGGAACCTTTTCTGGATACAAGATAAATAATTCAAAATCCTGCCTATTGCTGCTTAATAAAGCTGAGAGAGCCAACTCTGGTAGTATGCCATGGCCATTCAAACACTCAGAACGCCTGACTCAGGGCCAGATTAACACTTTGTTGTACCCTGGGCAACAATGTTCAAGGGCCCCATCATCACGACCCAAGGATCACCATAATATGGTCACATACAGAATATTTTACTGTAATATGCAGTAAATATACTCAATACTTGAATGCCTGACAACACGTAACCCTCTCAGAATAACCTTTGACCCACCTCATGTGGACTGACCAATGAGGAGAGGGTCTTAACTCGAGGCCCTCTCTTCATTGGTCAGTCTGCACGAGACTGACTCTCAACTGACGTTCAAAGTCATAGGCAGCGAAGCGTCTCTGTGCAGCGCAAAAGCCCGGGTGGACAGTTTGTTTAATGTAGGGTGACCATATTTCCATTTCCAAAAAAGAGGACAGGGGATCTGTGCCTATGACGTCACACTATGGCAACGCCACACAACGCTGGGACCCATTTTTTGTAAGAACTAAATTAATATCAGATTCTGCCAATAAAAGGGCTCTAAAACAATTCATATGTAAATATTTAGCATATTTATTGCAAAATCTCATTTTTCTGCTTTAGTGCTGCAACAAGGTTTTATTAATAATAAATTATTATACCTTTTGTTTTACTACACCATCGGTAAGCTTCCTGTGCACAGATTATTAAGGATGCTTGTTTCAGCTGTGAGATTAGACGATAGGATCAATGAAAAAATAAGTTGTCACACACTCCATGGAAACTTTCAGAGAATCCACAAATAGTGGCTTTCAAATGGTTTTGTTACTTTTTACAAGTTTAGAAAAGAAGCAGATGAGACATCATGTCTGATAATTTAGTTTTTCATCTGATAATATTAGAACATGTCAGTAATGTCTGAGGGGCTTTTATAAACACTGTATAACTAACACTACTGGAGAGGGTATGGATTACA